CAACCTGGCCTTGGACACTTCCAGGGATCCAGGGGCAGCCACAGCTTCTCTGGGCAACATGTGCCAGGGCCTCCCCGCCCTCTTTTGACCCCTCTGACCAACTGTGCTTGGCAACAGAGCCATGTCATGGCATGTGTGACACTGGGCACATCCTTTCATTTCAGTGGACTTCAGTGTCTCCATCTGCCACAACTCAAATTTACCCAAAGCCTTCAGGAGAAAACTGCCCCACCTACCCACTGGTTACAACAGCTAGTGTAAACACTGACCTGATACTGGGAAGAGGGGCCAGCTGGTACTGTAAAGAGAAATTGCTGGTGGAGTTCATAGCTGGGCTGGCTGTCGTTGGGCTGCAGGGCCCCGGGGGCAGGGCTGCTGGCAAAGGAACTGTTGTTGGCACACTCGGTCGCGTTGCAGCAGTTGTTGTGGGACGAGCACGAATCAGTCAAATGACACCACTGGAAACCAGGAGGACATTCCAGCAGCGTCCAGTTCCCATCATCCTGAGCAGGATGGAATGGTTCCGTAGCATTGCTTCCCTCCTGATAGTCTGGAAGAAGTGAAAAAGAAAGCAGAGATCACCATTCTCACAAGTAACACTCCTGCTGCACTTCTTTCCTCCAAATCCACCATTTTTTCCACTCAGATGATGGCTCCACTCTTAGTAAAAGCTGAAGCTGCAGCACATGCTGGTGCTACTGAAGTGCCTTGTTTCACTGGAAAAATTCACAAAGATCATTAAAACCAAAGCTGTCTCTTTTCCAGTGAGAACACACCAATTTGCACTCTAAAAGAGATCTGTGCTTGAGCAAAAGCAAGTCCAAGAGAAAGCAGAGCTGGCTCTGACTTTGAAAACACATTAAGCAACTTTTCTGAAGTTAATGTTTCCATGTCAAAGTATCAGCTTGTCAGTGTCAAAAAAGATCCTTTTGTAACCAGCCAACCCTACGGCTACAACAAACATTCTGCTGCAGAATTAATTGTTGCCAAAACTGTGACTGTTGAGCTGTTGTACAAGGAATAAAAGGCTTTTTAGATTATCTCATCCATCAGGAAGAAATGGGCTCAGGAAAATGTTCTTCCTTGTTAACCCGTGGGGCCAGATGGACCAGAACACATTCCCATTTGACATGTGTCTTCCCAAAGTAAAAAAGTACAGCTCAGAAGATTAATTAACTTCTACACACGCTCCTTTCACTCACATTCTCTTCATGCATGGAGAGAGGCTTCTCCCTCTATTATTTTTTCCAGGATAACCACTTCTCCAAGGCAGTCTCAGGCTGTCCAACCCTCCCTGCAGATCCTGCATTTTGACCTCCTCAAAAAACAGAATCAAATCTCTGAGCCTTTAAGGTCAAAGCTTTGAAGCCAGAGGGGCCACAAGGCCACGTAGTTTGACATGGCCCTGATGGCATCTCCTCCCACAACCCCACAAGCGTTGAGGAGATGTCTCACCTTCTCCATCCATCGGCCTGTGCACCTGGAACCTCACTTGGACAGGCTGATGCAGATCCTGTGTCACAAACTCCAGGGCAGTCAGATACCCCTCGTGCCTGAATGCCAGCTCAGGGAACTCCATCACCTGCCAAACACACACAGCTCTCACCTGCCTGTGGCTCCCTGGGCTCCCTGGGCACGGGCAGGGTGAGTAAACCCTTCTCACCTCCTCAGCCTGCCATGGCTCTGACAGCACAGCTCCAGTCAGGTTCCTCATGGCCTCGGGTGTGTCAAACACAGCGTCGCCCTCAAAGAAGTTTTCGGCATTTAGGAGAACTCCTGTTTGCAAAGGAGATATTTGAACAAAGCCCATGAGACCCAGCAAGAACTGGGGCATTCCCTCCACCCTGCAAAGCTGCAGCAGGGCTTGGACCTGACCCCTTGTCACTCCAGCTGTGCTGGAGAAGCAGCTCTGTAACTCTGTACCTCCTTTCTTCTTCTTACACGTGTTTTGATTTCTTTTTCATCCTGCACAAGTCACGTTCGCAGCAATTTTGACTTCTAGGAACTTTGCAAACACTTCTCCCTTCCAACAACTAATTATTTGCTTCGAATTTTAGAGCACGAGGTGCACCCCTCATATTCCCTGTGCCCCTGGACTTCCTGGGAAATGTGTGCAGGACCAGCTGGTTTCCACCAGCAGCAAACACCTCTGATCAGGCTCTGGGGACTGATGCTGCCCCTCTGACCAGGGCCAGTGGCCTCTTCCTAGCGATGGCTCTTCCTTCTGGCCTAAATCTTCTCCCATATTTCATGACCTTTCTAATGCTGCTTATTCCTCCCTACACTGCTTTGGGATATTTGGGAAGCTACAAATACACAGACCTGCACAGCACACACCACCTCACACCTTTTAAGTCATCAGGCCCCAACGTCTCACAAAGTACACGATGCCACAGAAGGACACCAAGTCACCAAGGCATCACCACTGGCCTCCTGCCAGCAGCAGAGGTTGCTCAAATAACAGGGAAAAGCTATTTCCAGAGCTCTGCCTCAAAGTTTCACTCCTCTCCCTCCTTCTGCTGATGGGAAAGACTGGAGTAGGCCAAATTCTTCCCTTCGGGCTAAAGTTGGGTTTCTGGAAGCTATCAGTCAAGCCTCTGCTGGGAATATTGTTACAAGTCCTACTTGTTCTGTGGTGATGCTCTAGATGACCCTCTCTCTCCATGAATCCCTATTTTTCCTTGCCATGTGCCACTGAGAGCAGGATGTGCCAGTGACCTGCCCGCCCACAGTGCCGGGGGGTGGCAGAGCCCACCTTTGGGTTTGTACTCGCAGACGTAGCTGTGCTTGGCCATGCACAGGTCGGTGTTGCACTGGCCCGTCGGGCCCATCCGGACGCAGTGGTCAGCGTTGGAGGGATGGGGTTCTCCTGGCAGCCAGTTCTGACAGCTCTCCAGATTAAATCCTTCCCCTCTTTGCTGCGCTCCAGAGCTTGCAAAATCATTGAATCCAATCCAGACATCGAGGCTCCTTCAAAAAAAATATGAAGGGGGAGGGGGGATTTCAGGAAATCATGAGTATTAGAAAGAGCTGGGAGAGCTGCCATCTCTGGTTCTCTCTAAAAATAATAACAGCTTCATTGGGGTGTCACAGGCTGCATTTAATGGAGCCTTTTAGTTCCTAAAGGGTTTCAGTAACTTTCCGTTCTGCCACCAGAACCTGGTTCCTCAGTAACAGCCCCTCCACAGCACACCACTGCTCTCCAACAGCCCCTCACACCTCTGTCCCACCAGCCTGCTGAGGGTGGGGAGGCCCTGGCACAGGTTGCCCAGAGAAGCTGGAAGTGTCCAAGGCCAGGTTAGACAGGGTTTGGAGCAACCTGGCCT